CAGTCCTGCTCCGATTTGGATTTGGGATGATGCTGTCGGAGCAGAGGCAGAAGAATGAATCCAACGCGGCGGGGCGGCTCGTCCATTATGCGAAGTAAGCGGTCGCAGAACACTTTTTTTGCCAGGGGCGCAGAGGTGCCTCTGTAAATGCCCCTCAACCACCACTTGAGGAGCGCCCCCTCAGCTCACAACAGCCCTAGCAGTCTGGGGGAGCCTCGGCTTTCTTGCCTCGCTGCCGGGCGATCCTCTTCCCAAAGGGGCCGGGCCCTTTAGCCCCTCTCATTCCTGCTCCACCTGGCCACCGGGTGCGCAAGCAGAGCCGCCGCTCAATCGTTCTCTGCATTCGATCCCTTCCCCATGACCGGCTTCTCCCGGTGCTCCACCCGCCTCCTCTCCTCTCCCCAATCCGCGGGTGGGCCAAGGGGCGGAGCCGCCGCGCATGGCCTGCTTCGGGTCCGGACTGAAGACCCCAGCTTGCGCACCAAAAGTTGCCTTTTCTCCTGACTTTCTCTTCAGCCATTGGGACCAAGAGAGAGAGAGAGAGAGAGAGAGAGACCCCTCCGGCTGGAGGTATCTCCCACCTCCGCTCCCTCCTTTGTTTTTGCGCCTACCTTCAGGAAAGGTGGGCATCTCCACCTCTCTCTCTCTCTCTTGGTCCCAATGGCTGAGGAGAAAGTCAGGAGAAGAGGTGACTTTTGGTGCACACGCCGGGGTCTTCAGGCATGCCTCCGGACCCAAAGCGGGCCAGGCAAGGGAGCAAGTGCGGCAAGTGTAGTTACTGGGATGTATAGTTCACCTACAATCAAAGAGCATTCTGAACTCCACCAATGATGGAATTGAACCAAATATGGCACACAGAACTCCCACGGCGAACAGAAAACATATATCAATAATTGGTTGGGGGGGGGGCAAAATACTGTTTGCTTACTGTTGAAAATTACCTAGGGCCGCCTCTGCCAGCACCTCTGGTTCAGAGAAGAAGAAACTTTGAAGCAGGAGAATGCCTTCCCTGTCCATGTCCTTCCTGTCCACCCTGCCCAAGCACCCTTTGTGATTTCCCAGATACCTGGTCTCTCTCTTTCTCCACTTCTTCCAGCTGGATCATCACCGTGTTCATGCGATGTTTGTACATTTCACAGTCTTTCCCCAGAGTTGAGCATTTCAGCTCCAGCTCCTGTTTCTCCTCGAGGTACTACAAATGAATCAATCAATAAACACAGTGCATCAAGGGCAATCGATAAACATCTGGCCCACGCCAAAGAAGAGAACCTTACTGATGTATCACCGCATCTCAGAGTTTGGCCTTAGTTGTCAGGAGGGAGACGCATGGCACGATGAGTCATCCAATCAATCCATTCTTAAGGTCTTATGGGAATGAACCCCTTCATTCTGGATTTGGGTATGAGGTCAACTTAACCAGAGAGGAGTTGTAGCACAACAGGGGAGGCTCAAGGGATATCTTGCATATATTCTGCTCCATCCCTGCTTTAGGTTTATTGTGTCTATTATTGTGGGACTCACAACTGTAGAGAGTTGTGAATTACCTGATGGCATACCAGGGGTCATGAGTTGCCACAACACCACATTATCTGGGCAGAATGAAGATTGTTCCCGTTAGCTTTCATGGTGACAAATGGAAGAGAAGGTCAGTAAGGAGAAAAGGTAACTTATCACTATACTATGCTTCCCTTCCATAACAAAAAGTGCGCCAGCTGCGCCCGTACCTTGTGAAGTCTGACTTGGCCACGGTAGTCCACGCTCTGGTTACATCCCGTTTTGACTACTGCAACGCTCTCTACGTGGGGTTGCCTTTGAAGACGGCCCGGAAGCTTCAATTAGTCCAACGTGTGGCAGCCATGATACTAACAGGAGCGGGACGCAGGGAGCATACAACCCCCTTGTTGTACCAGCTCCACTGGCTGCCGATTTGCTACCGGGCTCAATTCAAGGTGCTGGCGTTGGACTATAAAGCCTTAAACGGTTCCAGCCCAAGATACCTATCTGACCGCATCTCGACCTACGAGCCCACCAGGACTTTGAGATCTTCCGGGGAGGCCCTGCTCTTGATCCCGCCTGCTTCACAAGCACGGCTGGCGGGGACGAGAGATAGGGCCTTCTCGGTGGTGGCTCCTCGGCTGTGGAACACCCTTCCCGTGGACATTAGACTGGCTCCTTCCCTGATGATGTTCCGCAGGAAATTAAAGACTTGGTTGTTCAAGAAGGCGTTCGAACAAGAAGTGCAATGAGTGGTAATGACTATAGGAATGGAACAATGGAAAATGATATTGGATTGTGATTTGGACGATGAGACGATGATGAATGGTTTCTGTAGTAATGATGATGTTTCTGTATAATGCTGTACTGTGAATTGTTTTATGCTGTGTTGAATTTTGTTCTTCTTATGTTGTACACCGCTGTGAGCCGCCCCCGGGCTGAGAACAGCGGTATATAAGCAAAGTAAGTAAGTAAATAAATAAATAAATAAAAAGTGGCTGGAGATTGCACATTAATGCATGCAAGGGCAATTACATCAACTCATTGTATTTAAAATATTTGCATTTCTTGAATCCAAAAAACTATCTAAGGCTGCTGTTGACAAATGGAGCATATCTTTGGGTTTTCAGGAAGACTGTGAGATCTTGTCCATGAACAACTCAAGAGAACAGAACTACACACCCATCTATTTGTTCTCCAAGAGAAAATCCAAGGTTCTTTGTGTCTCCCTGACTTTACAGTTTCCATCTAATAATAATAATAATAATAATAATTCCAGATAAATTTGGATATATCTTTCTGCCACTTGCTAATTAGGGTTTTTGACCTTAGTACTGGTAGTGTCTGAAATAAATAGAGAACATCTGGCAATATACTCATTTTAACAGTGGCAATTCTGCCCAGCAGTGAAAGGTTTAAATATTCCCATGACTTCATTTCCTTTCATAATTATTCTTCATCAGGTGTGAGTTTTTTGACGCTATAATTATTCCTAAATACTTTGTTTTCTGAACTATTTTTTATTCCTGATAATTCTTGTAATTTTATTTTCCTTTCATTGCTAATATTTTCGTGATTATTTGTGTCTTGTCTTTATTTATTTTAAGGCCTGCCACTTCACCGAATTCTTTTATCTCTAATAGCCATTTATTTATATGTTCTAATGGGTTTTCTATGAAGCAGACTACATCGTCTGCAAAAGCACGGGTTTAAAATGTATATATTTTTTGTTTTTAGTCCTTTCAAGTCGTTGTTTGTTGATATTCTTCTTAGTAAGGTTTCTAGTGCCAAAATGAAAAGTGTTGGAGACAGGGGGCATCCCTGCCTTGTGCCTTTCTGGATGGGGATATTTTCTGATTGCTGTCCATTTACTATTACTGTAGCTTGTTGTTGTGTATATATGACATTAATTGCATTCAGATATTGGTAGCCTATGTCCATTTCCTTCAATAAATCTAGAATGAAGTTCCAGTTGACATTGTCGAATGCCTTCTGCTCCATTCTGCAGAGCAACATATTCCAAATAAAAATAATTATAAAATAATAATAATAATAATAGCACCGGGATTGTGGCGCAGCTGGCTGAGTGTCAGCTGCATTAAGATCACTCTGACCAAAAGGTCATGAGTTCGGAGCCAGCCCAGGTTGCAGTGGGTTTCCAACCAATTGTGTGTAGCCTGTTGTCGACCTTTGCAACCCGAAAGACAGTTCAATCAATCAATCAATGATTTATTACGGTCTTTGACCAGCACAGTATAAAATGGGGCACAGGTGCCCAAGGAAGGGAATCATGATCTCTGAGGATGCTTGCCATAGATGTAGGCGAAAAGTCAGGAGAGAATGCCTCTAGAACATGGCCATATAGCCCGTAAAAACCTACAACAACCCAATAGCACCGGGATTGTGGCGCAGTTGGCTGAGTGACAGCTGCATTAAGATCACTCTGACCAAAAGGTCATGAGTTTGAAGCCAGCCCGGGTTGGAGTGGATTTCCAACCAATTGTGTGCAGCCTGTTGTTGACCTTTGCAACCCGAAAGACAGTTGCAAGTAGGAAAATTAGGTACCACCTTAAAGTGTGGGGAGGCTAAATTAACTGATTTATGAGGCCATAAAGAAGACTCCAGCAAAGCATTCCAGCGGGGAAGCATGCGGGGAATGCGGAAGTGCTTCATCAGCGTCGCAGATGGATGAGAAAAGCGACTGCTCCCCTGGCGGCCAGAAAAAGTTAAATAGCCTCTGTCTATGTCTGTCTATGTTTGTATGTTAAAAATTGGCAGTGAATGTTTGCCATATATGTCTACACTGTAATCCGCCCTGACTCCCCTGCGGGGTGAGAAGGGCGAAATATAAAAGCTGTAAATAAATAAATAAATAAATAAATAATCTGACTTGGCCACGGTAGTCCACAGTCTTGTTACATCCCGTATAGACTACTGCAACGCTCTCTACATGGGGTTGCCTTTGAAGACTGTCCGGAAGCTTCAACTAGTCCAACGGATGGCAGCCAGGTTGCTAACTGGATTGGCTCTCAGGGAGCATACAACTCCCTTGTTGCACCAGCTCCACTGGCTACCAGTCTGCTACCAGGCACAATTCAAAGTTCTGGTCTTGGCCTATAAAGCCCTAAATGGTTTTGGCACCTTGGAGGTTGTGCTCGAATTTAGCCACAGGGGGATGCTGTTGCTCCATCCTCTATGACGAAGAGCCATCAAGATCTCCTCCTTCCTTTTGGTCACCAGGCATTTTCTGTTCTTTTTCTTTATGGTGTAAAATACCTCCTCCACTTGTTTTAGCAGTACCTAATTTCTCTCAGCTATATTCGAACTGCTTAGGTAAACAGTGAGCCGACCCGGGGCTTTGAAGTGGCAACCTTTCTGTTGGTAGATCTTATAATTGCTGGTGATTCACAAGCTGTGCTATAGCCCAGCCCAATCTTACTTTATCTTACCTTATCTCGCAGGTCCTCTGCATGTCGGATCTCTTCCTGGAGATTGAAGATCTTGTTGACCAACTCCTGACGATCTTCTAGTGCCTCTTTGCGGTCATGCTCTAGGATGTCCAAAATGGCCTTGTCTGAATCTGGCAAGCTGGGTTCTCCAGCCTGTAACACATAAGCAATTGTAGAGGATATAGAAGAACCCGGAATCTCAGGTAAACAGAGAGGTGGCAGTGGAAAAAGATGAGTACTGGATTGTTGTAGGTTTTTCAGCCTGTCTGACCGTGTTCCAGAAGCATTATCTCCTGATGTTTCGCATCTATGGCAGGGATCCTCAGAGGTTGTGAGGTCTCTAAGGATGCCTGCCATAGATGCAGGTGAAACGTCAGAAGAGAATGCTTCTAGAAACAGCCCTCCCCTTTGCTGAGAGGCTGGCCAATCACAGCAGAGGAGGGCTTTTGGTGGGAGGATTCGCTGTCTGTTTCCAAAAAGGAAGAGAAGGACAGGTGGAGAGATCTTCAGCCTTCTCTGCTAAACGGGTTCCTAAGACCATCTGTGCTGTCGCACACTCGGCCTGAAATAATGTCTGTTTACAGGACTTGCCTTCTGTATGCCCAACAGGATGCCGGAGTGCCTCAGCTGAAGGGCCCCTTAGATTTCCCAACACAAAGTTCTATTGAGGCTCAAAGTTCTTTATTTGGGCTTAAATCTTCAAACAAATGAATTAAATGCTTTATAACCTTGGAAAACCAGTAGCTTTTCAATCTGCCAACAAGGGGCAGGCAACTGGTGGTAAACTGTTCCTTTCTTCCTTAGGGAAATCTGACCCCTCCCTGGGCAATCTTTCTTTACCTTGCTGGCGTGAGGCCCCCACTCCCGGTTCTAAGCTGCTTTATGGTTAGCCTGAGTGGTCCCTTACCAGACAAGATTTCTGTAGATCTGCCAAGCTGAACGGTGTCCTTTAGATTACTCCACGAAGGCTGTAGGAACTGTCCTGTTGCCCCAGCAAAGGCTGGCTGTATTTCCCCAGCAAAAGCTGTGGGACTATCCCTTTACTCCCCCCGGCAAAGCTGCGAGAAGTGAAGCCTTTGTGCAGGTGGGAAAGAGAATTCCACACGTCCTGCTGTTAGGCTTCAAACAGTGAGACTGAACAAAAGTCCTCCTTTGCCTCCAAAACCCTGGAAAAAGGGGCGGGTCTAAAGACTCTAATGATTTATTTATTTGTCGTGTCAGATTAACCAGTCAATTATATTACATTTCTAATAGAACAAAGCAAACAAACATATAAAATACAACATTTGTGAGTTTGGTAGTTGGTTAAATGTCCTTTGACCAGTATCTGGCCACTTGGAGTGCTTCTGGCGTTGCCGTAAGAAGGTCCTCCATTGTGCATGTGGCAGGGCTCAGGGTGCATTGCAGCAGGTGGTCAGTGGTTTGCTCCCCTCCACATTCGCATATCGAGGATTCCACTTTGTGGCCCCATTTCTGAAGGTTGGCTCTGCATCTCGTGGTGCCAGAGCGCAGTCTGTTCAGTGCCTTCCAAGTCGCCCAGTCCTCTGTGTGCCCAGGGGGGAGTCTCTCATTTGGTATCAGCCATTGGTTGAGGTTCTGGATTTGAGCCTGCCACTTTTGGACTCTCGCTTGCTGAGGTGTTCTCTGTAGATCTTAGAAAACTATTTCTAGATTTAAGTCATTGACGTGCTGGCTGATACCCAAATAGAGGATGAGCTGGAGATGTCTCTGCCTTGGTCTTTTCACTATTGGCTGCTACTTCCCGGCGGATTTCAGGTGGTGTAATACCGGCTAAGCAGTGTAATTTCTCCAGTGGTGTAGGGCGCAGACACCCCGGGATAATGCGGCATGTCTCATTAAGAGCCACATCCACTGTTTTAGTGTGGTGAGATGTGTTCCACACTGGGCATGCATACTCAGCAGCAGAGTAGCACAGCGCAAGGGCGGATGTCTTCACTGTATCTAGTTGTGATCCCCAGGTTGTGCCAGTCAGCTTTCATATGATATTGTTTCTAGCACCCACTTTTTGCTTGATGTTCAGGCAGTGCTTCTTGTAGGTAAGAGCACGATCTAGAGTGATGATTGCCAGGTTGCTGGCCCTATGACTGCAACTTGGGGAAGCTACCTGAATGCAAAACGCATGGCTTAAATAAATTCATACAAACTAGCAGTGCAAGAAAAAGAGGTTAAAATCTCCTGGCACTGCCGTGCCAGCACACCATCAGAAATATATAGTTTTCAGATGGTCTTTGGTGACCCCTCTGAAACCCTCTCATGACCCCCCATCAAGAGTCCTGACTCCCAGGCTGAGAAAAGCTGGGCTAGGAGATTGGGATAGAGACATGCCACCTTCTTCTCCAAGAGAGAGGACTGGCCAGCAAGAGACCACTAGGAATGGTGTGGAGGAAGTTGCAAGTGCTGTCTAGTGTAAGAGCCGGCCCTGGATCTCACAGCCTCAGCATCACATTCTTATGGTGCTTGTTCATTTCTTTCCAAACTCAATGTGCAAACAACTTCTTTGATTGGCATGTTTCCACAGAATTGCATTTGCTTTTCTTTGCGTCTGCTCCTTGACAAGAGATGTTTTTATGACACGTGGAGCCATTTCAGGGCAACATGCTCTGAATAATCGAAAAATCCTCGCCTGGAGTCATCATCACTGATGACTAGAACAAATGTTTTCTTCTCGGCTGCAGCCAGCTTTCCCCACTCTGCCTTTAAGTAATTTGCTGTCCAAAAATAATTTTCATAAACTGGGAGTCAAAAGGTACAGACACTTGACATGTAAAAGGAAAAAGAGAGAAAAAGAAATTGTAGAATGCTCTCTCACATGTACCACTATTCTCTGTGAAATCTCAGATCTGAGCCCTACAAATATCATGCTTCTATGTTTACAGAAAGCCATGACCCACTGAGTTTGGTGGGATTTATTCAGCCCCAAATGTTACTTACCCAGGAAATATTTTATTAGATCTGCTATGGGAGGAACAAAGAATAAAGACCTACAATTCTTCACATAATTCAGTCCCTATTCTTGGTCAGAATGGGGTAAATGTTGGAGGGCAGAAACAATAATCCCCAATTTCTTATTCTCTCTAATGTTTCCCTCTACTAGAGCAGGCATGGGCAAACTTTGTGGCGTAATGTATAAAATAAACCATGTGTAGTTCACGATTGGTCAGCCCACACACTGGACTGTGCTCTTACCTACAAGAAGCACTGCCTGAACATCAAGCAAAAAGTGGGTGCTAGAAACAATATCATACGAAAGCTGACTGGCACAACCTGGGGATCACAACCAGACACAGTGAAGACATCTGCCCTTGCACTATGCTACTCTGCTGCTGAGTATGCATGCCCAGTGTGGAACACATCTCACCACACTAAAACAGTGGGTGTGGCTCTTAATGAGACATGCCGCATTATCACAGGGTGTCTGCGCCCTACACCACTGGAGAAATTACACTGTTTAGCCGGTATTGCACCACCTGACATCCGCCAGGAAGTGGCAGCCAATAGTGAAAGGACCAAGGCAGTGACATCTCCAGCTCATCCCTTGTTTGTGTATCAGCTAGCACACCAACGACTTAAATCAAGAAATAGTTTTCTAAGATCTACAGAGATACTCGCTGGAACACCTCAGCAAGCGAGAGTCCAAAAGTGGCAGGCTCAAACCCAGCACCTCAATCCGTGGGTAATACCAGATGAGAGACTCCCCCCTGGGCACACAGAAGACTGGGTGACTTGGAAGATGCCGAACAGACTGCGCTCTGACACCACGCGATGCAGAGCCAACCTTCAGAAATGGGGCCACAAAGTGGAATCCAAGACATGCGAGTGTGGAGAAGAGCAAACCACTGACCACCTGCTGCAATGCAACCTGAGCCCTGCCACATGCACAATGGAGGACCTTCTTGTGGCAACACCAGAGGCACTCCAAGTGGCCAGATACTGGTCAAAGGACATTTAATCAACTACCAAGCTTGCAAAATTTGTGTTTTTTTAATCTGTTTGTTTGTTTTGTTCTGTTAGAAATGTAATACAATGGTATGGTTGCTGATGACACGATAAATAAATAGCCCACACACTGCCTTGCCAGAGAAGGAAAATATGCCATGCAGATGAACAGTAAAGAACAGGTAGTTTACTCTTCATAAATCCAGAACAACATATATTTAAAATGATCTTTCTCTGTCCATGTAGATAAATTCCTTCAGCAGCTCATGAAGCAAGACTACACTCCAAACTCTCTCTCTCTCTCTGCTTCTCTCTTCAAACTGTCTATCTCTCCACCTGCATAGCTTAAGCCTGAACAAAAATGTAACAGTATCCAAAAGTCCCAGGCTCAGCCTGCTCCCTGGCCATTGCCCAACCAATCCGCTTCACGCATATTATTTTACAGTGGACACACACACATTAACTGATTCCTTGCATGCTCCAACAAACTTCAGCCCTCCAAGTGTTTTGGACTCCAACTCCCACAATTCCTAACAGCCTCAGGCCCCTTCCTTTCCCCCATCACCACTTAAGCCTGAAGAACTAAAGTTTGCCCATGCCTGTGTTATGGGTATGTTGTCCATGTACTGAAGGGTGTTGTCCTCGTACTGAAGGAATTGTGGGAGTTGTAGTCCAAAACACCTGTAGGGCCGAAGTTAGCCCATGCATGTTCTAGAGGACAGTGCTGTGTGTACTACCAAGCCCATCTTCTATGGGATCATCAGCTATGGGAGGGGGGCAATACCACATCCCCAATATTCAATTAAAATTCAACTATTCGGATAGCTTCTGTACCTGGAATAGAGGCAAAAGTTGCCACCTTGCCTTTGCTTTGTAACTTCGGTTGGTCTTGTGAAGACCTCCATGCTCTTGGCAAAAAGATAGTAAATTGCTTTGCTCCTCTAGCAGCCAACCTGGCTTTCATGAGGAAAGAAGCCAGCTTGGCTTTCATGATGGGATTTCTTGCAAATCTATGACAACCAGGCTTACATAGAAGTTGGATGTACTCTTATGGGAGTGTGAGTAATTGTGCAGTCGTCTCTCCTGCACCCACAGTCAGGTGTAGCTCCAATTAATTACAGCTCTATTTCTCAGCCGCCTCATTTCCAACCAGTGATTAAGCTCAAGTAAGTCATGCTGATTAACGCTCTCAACCTTCCAAATTACTATTTACAATGCCTCTCCTGGGAAGACTACAACCAAGCAGAAGGGAATCGGAGAGCGTCGCTCTAGACTCCGCAGCAGAGCACACCTAAAACAGAGCTCAGTCCTTGGATCGGCTGAAGGGTTGCTTGGATCTTAATGAGGTTATGAAAATCAACACATCACTTTCTGCTTCAGGAGGGACGAGGCTGCTGTGAAGCAACAGGAACATTAATTTGGCTATGATTTTCTTAACCTTCCCTTGTCCAAATTGCGGAGGTGTGAGGCAGATTAAGAATGGTTAAAAAATAATGCTTGTATCTACACATGTGTGTGAAGTATTGTCTCTCCTTTGCTTCAGTTCCCCTTGTTTATAGGCTTTCCCAATAGTGTAGAGACCTTCCTATGTATTAGTTTTTGGGTGAAGCTTAAAATCCCCTCAGAGGCCAGTCTTAGTTCATCTATTCCATTTCCCTGCATAGAGCTCTTAGACTCTTCCTCTTTCTGCAGCAGAGCTACAGAGGCTTAGATATTGTCTGGAATGGCATTCCTAACACCTGCTGTATTTAGCAGTATTATTATACCAGCAGTCCAAAGGACAACAGAAGCTTATTACCAGCCTAAGCTCCACAGGAAAGAAGATTAAGACAGTTTATAACCATCGCTTTACATCAGAGGCAGAAAAGACTCCAGAAAATTTACTGCAACCAGCAAATTCTCTTTTTGTATTGTATTGTATTAAGTTACCTTATGATAGTCCCGGGTATAAACACATTTTGGTTATCTTTTCACCTTGACTAAAGTGCCTTATGCTGGGGAAAGTGGAAGGTAAAAGGAAGAGGGGCCGACCAAGGGCACGATGGATGGATGGCATCCTTGAAGAGACTGGAGTGACCTTGAAGGAGCTGGGGGTGGTGACGGCTGACAGGGAGCTCTGGCATGGGCTGGTCCATGAGGTCACGAAGAGTTGGAGACGACTGAACGAATGAACAACAACAACAAAATGCCTCTGTCGGCTAAGGGTCTTAATCTTAACAGAAGGTATCAGAAAGCCCCCGAGTAAAGCCAGACAATATAGTTTTCCCAAAGGACTCGGGCGTGCCATCACAATGTGCTTTGTTGAAAACTGGACTTGCATTTAGCAGTATTATTATACCACCAGTTCAAAGGACAACAGAAGCTTATAACCACCCTAAGCTTTACAGGAATGAAGATTATGACAGTTTATAACCATCACTTTACATCAGAGGCAGAAAAGACTCCAGAAAGTTGACTGCAACCAGCAAATTCTCTTTTTGTATTGTATTAAGTTACCTTATGATAGTCCCAGGTGGTGTTAACCCTTTATTCATCTTGTTTCAGTAAACACATTTTGGTTATCTTTTCACCTTGACTAAAGTGCCTCTCTCGGCTAAGGGTCTTAATCTTAACAGGAGGTATCAGAAAGCCCCCGAGTAAAGCCAGTCAATATAGTTTTCCCAAAGGTCCGGGCGTGCCATCACAATGTGCTTTGTTGAAAACTGACTTGCATTTAGCAGTATTATTATACCACCAGTCCAAAGGACAACAGAAGCTTATAACCAGCCTAAGCTTTACAGGAACGAAGATTAAGACAGTTTAAAACCATCGCTTTGCACCAGAGGCAGGAAAGACCAGGAACAGGAGAAAAAACTACAACTTGGTTACCTCCCATGCAACAGCAGTCTTAAGCAACAAACCATGACTAATACAAACCATGGCTCATTGAACATATCCTAGATTTAAGCAACTGGGCTGAATTCTCCAATCCAAACTGCCTTATATTAGCCATAAAGGCATTGGCTCCTGTCAAGCCAACCACTATTCTCATAGCCTCAGCCATCTTTTACACGGCATGTGAACACAAGGCTTTCAGCCTTCCTTGCAGGGCCATTAGAAGGAAAATTTATGAGAGGTATTGCACTGGGTTGGACACACAGGAAAAGCATTATCTAAACCAGCTGCTGTGTACTCTGAACTGAATGTTCTCTTACTGGAAAAGCTGCAATCCGTATAAATTATACAAAACATGCATAATTTATATTTCCCCTTGTTGCATGATTAATTCCACTGTTTTCTACAACTGGTTGAACTTCTTCTCTTCATGGGATTTCACAGAAACCTTGCCAAAACCTGGGATGGGGTGTAGTTCTGGGTCTCCCCAAGAGCCCTTTTGGTGTTGGATACTGACAAGGTTTTACTGCTTTAGCATATGTTTTAGTGAAGATAAACAATGGAGAACCAGTGTTAGTGTAGTGGGTTGAGCTTTTGGATAGGACACTGAGAGACCAGTGTTGGAGTCCCACTTGGCCACAGAAACCTATCAGATGATTTTGGACAAGTCACATATTCTCAGCCACAGAGGAAAGCAATGACAACCCCCATCTGAACAAACCACGCCAAGAAAACCATTTGCCTTAGGATCCAAATAAGTCAGAAATGGAAATAAGTCTCATACGTCAAAACCAAGCAGGACTCGAAGGCACGCAGCAACACAACAAATGATGCAGCAGATGTTGCACCTCAGAGAAGCATACCATCCTTTTGGTTGATGAGGTCCAATATCACAACCATTGGGAATCCAAAGAAATGTTATAATAATATAATGAATATTTATTTGTACACCACTACCATCTCCCCAAAGGGAGGCTAACAGAAGCACTCCAAGTGCCACAAACAGACAACAATTGGTAAAGGTAGGTAAAGGTTTTCCCCTGACATTAAGTCCAGTCGTGTCCAACTCTGGGGTGAGGTGCTCATCTCCATTTCTAAGCCGAAGAACCAGCGTTGTCCATAGACACCTCCAAGGTCATGTGGCCAGCATGACTGCATGGCGCACTGTTAACTTCCCGCTGGAGCGGTACCTATTGATCTACACACATTTGCATGTTTTCGAACTGCTAGGTTGGCAGAAGCTGCGGCTGACAGCGGAAGCTCATGCTGCTCCCTGGATTCGAACCTGCGACCTTTCGGTCAACAAGCTCAGCAACTCAGTGCTTTAACCCACTGCACAACCAGGGGCTCCGCAGACAACAATACATAAGTATAAATACAACGACATAAGTACAATCAATAGCACATAAAAGTCTCACTGATAAAATTATAAAAATATAAAATTATAAAATTCCTAAAACGCAGTGGAACCTGTGGGTAAACCAGCTATCTGTTGTAACAATCAAAATGAAGGCAATACTATCAATGTATTGTCAAAGGCTTTCATGGCCAGAATCACTGGGTTGTTGTAGTTTTTTTCAGGCTATATGGCCATGTTCTAGAGGCATTCTCTCCTGACGAACAAAATCTGGCTACCAGTATTTAAAAAACTCTAAAATTACAACAGCAAAACAACAGAGAGGAAATAATCAGGGACATCTAATCACCTCTCAACAAAAGATTGCCCCAGGCACCAACAAGCCACACCAAACAACTGCCAGGCAATCAAATGCTAATCAAGGTGGTCAGTTGAAACATTCACACCTAGCTCCAGCAGACAAGAGTCCTTTGTCCCACCCTGGTCATTCCACAGATATATAAACCCTCTTTTCCTAGTTCCAACAGACCTCACTACCTCTGAGGATGCTTGCCATAGATGCAGGCGAAATGTCAGGAGAGAATGCCTCTACAACATGGCCAACATAGCCCAAAAAAAAAAACCCTACAATAACCCAATACTATCAATGATTCATCATGTTGACCATGGATTACTTAGGATCAAAGGCCTGTCTAAAGAGCCATGTTCTTAGACTACATGGAAAGCCTGGAGAGAGAGGGCTAATCTAATTTCTTTAGGAAGGGTATTCCAGAGCTGGGGAGCCACCACTGAGAAGGCCCTCGGCCTCGTCCCCACCAACCATAGTTGAGAAGGTGATGGGACCTAGAGAAGGGCCTCACCAGCAGATCTTAATGCCCATGTTCTTAGACTACATGGAAAGCCTGGAGAGAGAGGGCTAATCTAATTTCTTTAGGAAGGGTATTCCAGACCTGGGGAGCCACCACTGAGAAGGCCCTCTCTCTCGTCCCCACCAACCATAGTTGAGAAGGTGATGGGACCAAGAGAAGGGCCTCACCAGCAGATCTTAATGCCCATGCCAGTTCGAAGAAGGGGACGTGGTCTTGAGAATAGGTTGGACCCAAAGCCTTATCCCTTTGCCCAGCAATCAAACCAAATCCTTATTGATGCCCACATAGAGCGTCTGGATCAGTGTGCACCCCTCCCAGGCTGAGACCAATAGAAGATGGATTCCCAAAGTGCAGAAGTAAACAAAGAAACCAAAATGTACAAGTGTAACTCATCTCCCCCTAAGCGGCAATGAGAATTGTACAAGCAGGTTAGCAACAAAGTTAATTCCCTTGGTGTGTTCTCATATTTTTTCCCAGCCTCAAGCTGCGAAGGGAATGAAGAAAATAGCCAACAAGTCATCTGTAGCAAAGAACCCTTTTCATGCCACTGGGCAGCTGTTAGCTTCTGATCATCTATAACAAAGTCCATCTGCCTGGTTATAGATTTCCAGCTCACTACAGCTCTGAAACTTGACCTGACCTGACAAATTATTTTCAGCAACCCTTTTAGGGCTTTCCAGATTTCTGTCACGGCTACCTCCAGAAACATCAGCTCAAGAAACTTGAAAGAAAAGCAGCAAAACTGATTTGGACTTTGAAATCTTCACCAAATGCTACATTCTGCTCTTTTGAATTTTCCTTATTCACCTGAATGATGGACTGGAGCTCCTGAATTTTGGTTTTGAGCATCTCGTTTTCCCGTTCCAGCTCCAGAACCTGTTCTTTCTTGGGTCGGTTTTCAATATCATTCTTGAGCTTCAAGGACTGGTTTCTCTCCAGCTTGCATTCCTCTTCCACTTTATTCAACCAGTGTTTCAGCTGGTCAATCTAGCAAAGTCCCACAAATGGAGAGAGGAGAAAAAAGACAAAATAAGTCATTTTTTTAAAAAGGCAGGCTCTGCCTCTAGTAGCGGCGTTTCCAGGAGTAATGGAGATGCCACTCAGTGCGCAAATAAATAGCTTGTATTTCATGCACAGTGCCTCCAGCTCACATATCGCAAATGGCACTGTGAATTATCAAATGAAAACAAAGGAATCTAGAGTTGTAAAACTTTTCTTCCTTTATACTTGCATGCAAGAATGGATACTTTTCAAACTTTTCTAACTGTTGGATGATTTACAAGAGTTTTTGTACATTTTTGACATTTTTATTTTTGTATTTGTTCTGTCACGCACTGGGCCTGTAAATAACTGTCTTTAAACAGGACTTTAGAGCCCAGCGGGAAGCCAGGGGGGCCCGAAGAAAGGTTCTCAGAGGTTTTCCACCACAAATGATCTTTAGATGGCTTATGAAGTATAACAAAGTGCTTTATTAATGAACAATCAAACAGAAACTTCTCTTGTCTTCAGTAAAGTCAAACAAGTGATTCCAGGCTTTTATGCAACTGGTGGCTTCCTAAACTTGTCCACAAAGGACAGGCAATTGTCTTTAATAACTGAATCTTTACTTTAAAGGAAAATCCCCTTTTTAACTTCTCCCAGACTCACTGTAATCTAATCCTTACTGATGTGGGCTCCGCTACCAGGTCGAACTGCCTCTCGAGCACCGAGTGGACCTACCAGTAAGGCCAGTAGATTCTCCAGCTGGAGTTCTTTGGTCTTCCAATCTGTTCCCTCCGAAATTCTTCAAAGCTATAGGGCTGGTTCCCTGGAAATCTTTAGAATCTTTGGAGGCTCTTAAGACTGTTCTCCCTCGGAAAGTCTTAAGGGTTGAAGCTTTTGTACAGGGGAAGCTTGAACGCGTCCTGTACATTAGCTTTCCTTGCTGAGACTAACTAAAAAATGGCTCCCTTCTCTTCCCAATTGCTCTGAGCAAGGGGCGGAACCAAAACTTAACGATGATGGACAGGTGACTTGCCCTACGACTGCAACCAAAGGAAGCCACCTTTCTGCAGAACCCCTGAAACTCTGGACTGCAAGCAAACACTCAATACAAAGCAAATAAATTTGGAACTCCTGGTACAGCCATACCAGCACAGTATTTGTCTGGGTAAAATGTTGTTTTGGGCAAAAAGCAGCCAATTACCTCCAAAAACAGTGTTCTTGCACTATTTTCTGCTAAACATAAATTTCTGTTTGCAGAAAGAAGCATTTAACTAGATGTTGTTGACTAATATTTCCTACTGACTTTGGTCAATGTGGCCAATGATGAGGATTTTGGGGAGCTGCAACTGTGGAAGGCTGTGCAATTCCTACGGCAGGACTACACAGTTGTAGATCTGTCCACTGACTGGGAAGACAAGCAAGCTCTGAGCTCTAGTTCAGTGGTTCTCAGCCTTCCTAATACCATGACCCCTTAATACAGTTCCTCATGTTGTGGTGACCCACAACCATAAAATTATTTTTGTTGCTACATCACAACTGTAATTTTGCTACTGTTATGGATCACAATGTATCTGATATGCTGGATGTATTTTCATTCACTGCACCAAATCTGGCACAAATACCTGATACTCCTAAATTTGAATACTGGTGGGGTTGGGGGGATTGATTTTGTCATTTGGGAGTTGTAGTTGCTGGGATTTTTAGTTCACCTACAATCAAAGAGCATTCTGAACTCCACCAACGATGGAATTGAACCAAACTTGGGTCACAGAGCCCCCATGACCAGCAAAAAAATACTGGAGGTCTTTGGGGAAAATTCACCTTGATTTGGGGGAGTTGTAGTTCACCTACATCCAGTGAGCTCCCATGACCAACAGAAAATACTGGAAGGGTTTGGTGGGCATTGACCTTGAGTTTTGGAGTTGTAGTTCACCTACATCCAGAGAGCACTGTGGACTCAAACAATGATGGATCTGGACCAAACTTGGCACAAATACTCAATATGTCCAAGTATAAACACTGGTGGAGTATGGAGAAAATAGACCTTGACATTTTGGAAGTTATAGTTGCTGGGATTTATAGTTCACCTACAAAGAACATTCTGAACTCCACCAATGATGGAATTGAATCAAACTTGGCACACAGAACTTCCATGACCAACAGAAAATACTGGAAGAGTTTGGCAGGCATTGATCTTGAGTGTGGGAGTTGTATTTCACCTAGATCCAGAGAGCACTGTGGACTCAAATAATGATGGATCTGGACCGAACTTTGCACAAATCCTCAATATGCCCAAGTGTGAACACTGGTGGAGTTTGGGGGGAAATAGAGCTTGACATTTGGAAGTTGTAGTTGCTGGGATTTATAGTTTACCTATAAATTCCAGCATTCTGAACCTCACCAATGATAGAATTGGGCCAAACTTCCCACACTGAACCTCCATGCCTTGAAGGGACTCTTCCATGCAAGCCTCCTTCCAAACTTGCATGCTCTCCCTCGCTTACACATGTGCACCATGCTGCCATGTACTGAGCACGCCTGCTCTCTCCTGCCCGCTTGGAGTCTCAGAAATAGCCCTCCCTCAATGACATTGGAGGAGGGCTCATGGTGGGAGGATTTCCCATCTGTTCCCAAAAAGGAGGAGAAGGTCAGGAAGCAAGATCTTCAGCCTTCTCTGCAAAAGGGTTCCTAAGAACATCAGAAATATATGTTTTCTGGTGGTCTTTGGCAACCCCCCTGAAACCCCCTCCCAGGTGTCCCAACATCCAGTTTGAGAAATGCTGTAGATACTTATGAGCTGATAGTCCCATCATGCCTCACCACTGGTCAGGTTTGATAGGGTTGATGAGAATTGTAGTTCCATATCTGAAAGACCACAAGTTCCTCCATTCTTCCTTAGAACACTTTTTAAACTAATATTATATTCATCACAATCACACACAAAAGCTAAAGAGTCCCATGTCCCACATTGCCGCACCACTAACCTCTAGTTGGAGGTCTCGGCTTCTCATCACCGCCATGTTTTTTTCTTCACTCAGCTGGGCATACCTCATTGCCAAGTTGTAGTTCTCATCTTTAACCTTGACCAGTTCGTCATTGTAGTTGTTCCGCTCCTCCTTCATTTTATTGTACCTCTCCTGGAAGGTCAGCAGCTCTATCTTGTTGAGCTTTATCCGCTTCCTCTCGTCCTCCAACTGGCGGGACTTGGCCAGGAGCTCACAGCGTTGCGCATCCTTGGTCTTGAGCTGTTGCTGGAGCTTGATGATCTCATTCATTAGGAAATGGGTGAGGCCTTCATGGCCCTCTTCTACTGAAAGAGACAGACAATGGCAACAAGGTAGTGGCAACCAATGTACCCAACTTCAGCACAAAAACACCTGTGAGAAGTAGTGAATGTTGCATTGAACAGAGTCAAGTAAATTCATCTTCACTTCACATATAATGTTGCTATTTGATTTGAGCTGTCATAGGTCCCAACCCTTGAGGAGGGCAGAATATATACATATACATATACATCTGTATCTGTATAAATAAAAATGTAATGTTCGTTTGTAGGATTAACATAACTCAAAAACCAGTGGACAAATTGCTGCCAAATTTGGCCACAAGACACCTACTAACCCAAGCAGTGACCATCACTAAAAACATTGATTTTGTCATTTGGGAGTTGTAGTTGCTGGGATTTATAGTTAACCTACCATCAAAGAGCATTCAGAACTCCACCAATGATGGAATTAAACCAAACGTGGCACACAGAACTCCCATGACCAACAGAAAACACTAGAAGGGTTTGGTGGGTATTGACCTTGAGTCTGAGAGTTGTAGTTCACCTACATCCAGAGAGCACTGTGGACTCCAACAATGATGAATCTGGACCAAACTTGGCACAAACACTCAATATCCCCAAATGTGAATACTGGTGAAGTTTGGGGGAAATAGACCTTGACATTTGGAAGTTGTAGTTACTGGGATTTATAGTTCATCTACCACCAAAGAGCATTCTGAATCCCACCAATGACTGAATTGGGGCAAACTTCCCACACAGAACCACCATGACCAACAGAAAATACTTAAGGCCATCTAGTCAAGTTCCTTCACCAGGGCAAAAAAACATAATCAAAGCTCTCCTGACAAAGAGCCATCCAGTCAGAGATATAGATAGATAGATAGATAGATAGATAGATAGATAGATAGATAGATATGATTCACACACAGAGAGATATAGTATCATAGATTTGAAAGGGACCTTTAAAGAAGGGCAATGATATGTTGAATGTTCCAGAGTAGGCAAAGCAGACACTCTCCATATCAACACTGACAAAGAAACAGCAAGAAATATTGTTTACCCACAAGCATAAAGACTTTACATATATTAGAAACCAACACTTTCTCATAACTTTATTTTCCAGATCACCAGACTGGGCCACAGCAACGCATGGCAGGGGATGGCTAGTATATATAAAACATTTCTACCCCATCCTTCTCGACCTTCAAAGAGGGACTCAGGAGGGCTTCCAACAGGCACCTATTCAATGCTGACACAATATAATAACATAACATAAAATACAATTAGCATACATTAAAAACAGTTATAAATATACATTAAAGCAGTTGGTTGGTTCAAATTGTCATCCAAATCAGCCCATTGCGGTCCACTTAAACCTTATCTTCACCAGTAAATCAGTCTATTCTGTGAATGCTTGATCCCAAAGTGAGGATTTGAGTTTCTTCCGGAAGATCAGAAGGGATGGGGCAGATCTAATTTCACAAGGGAGGGAGATCCACAGCCGAGGGGCCACCACAGAGAAGGCCCTGTCTCTTGTCCCCACCAAACGCAATTGCGATGGCAGTGGGAGTGAGCGCAGGGCCTCGCCGGATGATCTTAAGGTTCTTGGTGGTACGTAGAGGGAGATTTCAGACAGGTAAACGGGGCCGAAACCATTTAGGGCTTTATAGGTTAAGACCAGCACTTTGAATTGTGCCTGGAAGCTAATAGGCAGCCAGTGGAGCTGGAATAACAGGGGAGTTGTATGCTCCCTGTATCCTGCTTCCGTGAGCAACCTGGACGCCGAGCGTTGGACTTAAGCTTCTGAGCAGTCTTCAGAGGCAACCCCACGTAGAATGCATTGCAGTAATCTATTCGGGATGTAACCAGAGCGTGGACCACCATGGCCAAGTGATTTGATACGGGCGCAGTTGGTGCACAAGTTTTAATTGTGTAAAAGCTCCCCTCGCCACCGCCGAGACCTGGGGTTCCAGGCTCAGCAATGCGTCTAGGATCACTCCCAAGCTGCGAACCTGCGCCTTCAGGGGGAGTGTAACCCCATCAAGCACAGGCTGTAACCCTATGCCCTGTTCTGCCTTCCAACTGACCAGGAGTACCTCTGTTTTGTATGGATTCAATTTCAATTTGTTTGCTCTCATCCAGACAGTTACAGCTGCCAAGCACCAGTTCAGGACCTGAACAACCTCCTTAGTAGCAGGTGGGAAGGAGTGACAGTGTTGGATATCATCTGCATACAGATGACGCCAAACTCTGAAACTCTGGATGATCTCCCCCAACAGCTTCATGTAAATGTTAAACAACATAGGGGACAGTACTGAACCCTGTGGGACCCCACAGTACAATAGCCATGGGGCTGAGCATAAATAAACAAACAAATAACAAAATTAGTTTTGATGTACAGCAATCCAATGAATGAAATACCTCCAAGAGTCCCATCCCAACAACAGCCTGGCCCAGATCTTGTAAACATAGGCCCAAAGCTTTCTTGACAAAACCAACCCATATGTAAGGTGGACTTTCACAATCTTTTCCAACTGCCTCCCACTTTACTGAAATTTATTGTAAGTCTTCCTTTTTTCTCTTCTGATGCCTGTTGTCATGCCTGTTGACATCAGCAGACAGAGAATAAACGATCCTTTAATTACCCAACAAGCAACCATTAGGTTGCCCAACAGACACATCGTTACAATTAAAAAAACAATTAAAACAATAATAAGCATTCATTTTAAAACAGTCTGCCATTTCAAAATCATAGTCCAGGTGAACCTATTGTGGTCAGTTAAAACATTCTCTTCCAAGGTTGCTACATCTACTGCTCAAATGCTTGATCCCACAGCCAGTTTTTATTTTTTTGCAAAAGGTCAGGAGGGAGGGGACATACCTAATTTCATTGGGGAGGGAGTTCCACACCGAGGGGCCACCATGGAGAAGGTCCTGTCTCTCATCCCCACCAGTCACGCTTATGAAGGTGGTGGGACCGAGAGCAGGGCCTTCCTGGATGATCTTAACATCCTTGATGGTTTGTAGAGGGAGATACATTCAGACAGGTAAACTGGGCCGGAACACTTCCCAGTGGGCTCAAGGAAAAGCAAACTGCTGCATCCATTCCTAGTCAAATGAGTTTTTCCTCATTGATACCTTTTACCATCTTGACCACATTCTTTTTTAAAAAAAATATTTTTTATTATTTTATCATAGTTCGATACATTTGTTATACATTGTTTATTTTACAGCAGATTCATATTATTCAATACAATCTATCATACTTTAACTTTTGGTATCTACTGTTATTTTTCTGCTTATACATATTATCTATCCCTCACCACCGTGCTCCCCTCCCCCCCCCCCAAGCCACAGCTTTTACATATCATCTGTCCAAAATTTCAATTCTTTTTGTGGAGGTAACTTTCCTTCTTTCTTTTAAAATACTTTTTCAATAAGTTTTCTCCATATTTCATCAAAATCACTTTGTTTCCATATACCTCTTTTAACTTTTAATATACATGTCAGCTTATCATTTATTGCCAATTTCCATCCTTCCTTGCCTCTATTTGTATATTTATTTCTCTTTTCCAATTCCTTGCTATAAGCAGTCTTGCTATTGTTAATAGGTTTGTTATCGCATCTTTATCCTTTTTTTCCAATTGTTTATTGTTATATAATGATAATAAAGCTATACTAGGACTTCTTTCTATTTTAATGTTCATTATATCCTCTATTTCTCTAAATACTTTCCCCCCAAAAATTATTTACATATTTACATTGCCACCACATATATGTTCCTGATTCTTGGCATCATCTCCAATAATTTTTGAGTAGTTTTTATTCATATCTGGGAGTGATCCTGGACTCATTGCTGAGCCTGGAGCCCCAGGTTTCAGCGGTGGTCAGGGGAGCTTTTGCACAATTAAAACTTGTGCACCAGCTGCCCCCGTACCTTGGGAAGTCTGACTTGGCCACGGTAGTCCATGCTCTGGTTACATCCCGTTTAGATTACTGCAACGCTCTCTACGTGGGATTGCCTCTGAAGACTGTCCGGAAGCTTCAATTAGTCCAACGTGCGGCAGCCGGACTACTAACAAGAGCGGGGTACAGGGAGCATACTACTCCTCTGTTGCGCCAGTTCCACTGGCTGCCAGTCAGCTTCCGAGCACAATTCAAAGTGCTGGTCTTAACCTATAAAGCCCTAAACGACTCTGGCCAAATTTACCTGTCCGAACGTATTCTCCCCTATGAACCATCAAGATTGCTAAGATCGTCTGGAGGGACCCTGCTCTCGATCCCACCGGCCTTACAGGCGCGGCTGGTGGTGACGAGAGGCGGGGCCTTCTCGGTGGTGGCCCCTTGACTCTGGAACTCCCTTCCACTGGAGATCAGAACTGCCCCTTCGATCTTAACGTTCAGGAAACAGGTGAAAACTTGGCTTTGGGGATTGGCATTCGACGAATGAGCCATGATCCTGTGATATGGATGGATGACGGCGAATAATGATTTTTGATGACGACTGACCACTGTAATTATATGATTGTACTTTGCTATTTTAATGTTTTAGTGTGATTTAGAATATGATATTTTAATGACTGTCTGTAATATTATTGTTGGAGACCGGCCTGAGTCCCTCGAACAGAGGTGAGAAGACCAGTATAGCTATACAAAACTGCTAAATAAATAAATAAATAAATAAATAAATATTTGCTATTCTTACTGGTGTAAGGTAATCTTGACCACATTCTGACACTGCTTGGCCTCACATATTGGAGGGTAAGACACTTACCAACAATAGTGGAGAAGCGTCGTGTCGGTTCCTTTCCAGTCACTAATTTATAGAGCTCTGGGTAGTAAAATTCAAGGCTTTCTAAGAAGACCACATAGCCTCTCTCTCCTTTGGTATGAAGAATGTCTAGGAGTCGACCTAAGAGACGGGTTGAAAGAATATCACACACTGACAAGATAACTGAGCAGAACTCAAATAGTTAAAATACACAAAAGTTAAAATATAGCTAAATCTTTTTTTATAGCTCTTTTAATCCTGACTTTGATATCAACCAACTTGTTCCTACCTGCTCGGTTGATTTTGGAGAGCAGCATGGGGGAATTGAGCACCTCATCCTCATCTTGTTCATCGACAACTTTACACTGGCGAAGGTAAGGAGTCAGTTTGGCCGGGTTGATGTAGCGGGTCAACATGTGGCGGTTGCACTCCACGTTCTCCCACAATGCGTCTTCCTCATCCTTCAAGGTCTCCATACAGTCCTCCATTTCCGATTTGCTTGGGAAGAGAAAGATAAATAGTTCAGAAACACTCTCCACTCAACTCTAAAACTGATTAATAGAGGGCATAAATGAACAGATTTATGTTTACCAAGAGGAGTTAATTTGCTTCTGTGTGAATGTTACCCTTTCGGAAAAAACCATCATCATCATTGTTTTATTTCTTACCCACCTCTCCTCATGGCTCAAGGTGTGTTACAGCACAGCTAAAAACACATAATTATATAAAATACACATATTACAATGTCTTTCTAAAGATACACACATACACACACACACACACAAGAGTTGAATGAAAAGTAATGCCTCCACCTTCATAACTTCTCAACAGATGGCAGTACTGGTATGTGGAAGGTACTGGCTTGTTCAGTAGACTCTCCTCTATAGTTTCAGTTTGGCAGGAAGCCTTGGCATTGAACAGTTGTGTTGTTAAAGTGCGAAGAATGGAACCTTGTGAAGACGGTCGGTCAATGTGACTTAAGCAATGTGCAGTCATTGAATTCTTGATAGCAGAATGTGTCACCCCAAGGAGATTAATCAGAGAATGCAACTTGTTTATGGTGATTGTGTTAATGTGAGTACTGTGCATCCCGATAATGAAAGAAGATCTGCGGAGACATCATTATGCTTCTAATGAAGACGTTGAGAGAACTGTAAGGTGGTGGTTGCGGAAACAGAGTGTAGACTTCTTCCATGACGGCTTCAGAAAACTTGTTCATCTTTGGCAGAAATGTACCCAATTGTCTAGTGATTATGTGGAAAAGTGAATAGTGGTAGTTAAAGAGCACATTCTAAGGATTATTTCTGCATCTGATTTATTAAAATATTCCCATCAAAACCCAAGTAAAGAAGGTGGAAGCATTACTTTTCATTCAACCCTTATACATATACACAGAAAATGTTTAAAATATAGTGGACACAAGACACAAATTTAAAATTCATGATTAAAACTGCCTAGGTAAGCCTGCTACAAGAGAAAGGCCTACAGATTTGTTTTAAATTCTGACAGCTCATTGAGCTGTCAGATCTCTTCTGACATGCTTCTACCAGACATCACTACCACCACCACCACCACCATCATCACCATTTTTGTTTATACCCCACTTTTTTCTCTACAAAGGAGACTGAGGGCATTACTATTGAGTTGTGTTGGAGTGTCGTGATTTTAGCTAGGACCACAGTTAAGAATGTCCATGCCCGGTGAGCGTCTGCTAAACCAGATCAGCCATAACAGAGAACAAAGCACTCCAGGTTTGAAGGCAAACTACAGAGATTTATTACAATTTGGTTCAAAGGGATGCAAGTACTGAGTCAGTGCTCAAAATGTGCAAGCGTACCTTCACAGCAATGTACGTGAGAGCTGAGCATGAGATGGGAAGAGTGAGGAAGTGAGACTTCTGATAAAACCTCCCTGCTGCTGAGCTTTGCAAAATTATTCCCCCTTTGTTTCCCCATCCCTTCTTTCAGAGCAAACAAATCCCTCATAGCCCCCATCTCATGCACAAAGCAAAATGTGCAGACTTGTGGCAAGGAGTTAAGAGGCCGGGAACGAACCAGTACTTCGCTAGTAACTGCACTGTAGGAAGTAAACCCTGGAAAGTACCTTTCTGAGATGCCACATCCCCTCTGACTTGACTTAAATCTAGAAATAGTTTTCTAAGATCTACAGAGACACTCGGCGGAACACCTCAGCAAGCGAGAGTCCAAAAGTGGCAGGCTCTCGCTTGCCACTCAACCAATGGCTGATACCAGAACCTCAACTAATGGCTGATACCCAATGAGAGACTCCCCCCTGGGCACACAGAGGACTGGGCGACTTGGAAGGCGCTGAACAGACTGCGCTCTGGCACCACGAGATGCAGAGCCAACCTCAAGAAATGGGGCCACAAAGTGGAATCCACAACATGCGAGTGTGGAGAAGAGCAAACCACAGACCACCTGCTGTAATGCAACCTGAGCCCTGCCACATGCACAATGGAGGACCTTCTTGCGGCAACACCAGAAGCACTCCAAGTGGCCAGATACTGGTCAAAGGACATTTAATCAACTACCAATTAAATAGAAACGGGGTATACATAAAGTATTATTATTATTATTATTATTATTATTCTTTCTCAGACTGAGAGGAAGACAATGGCAAGAAAACTTGCCAGGAAAACCCACTAATAGGGGTCTCTGACTGAGGATCACCATCCCTAAGAAATGACTTGAAGGCACACAACAAAAACCAACAACAAATGCATAAAGTAATGGTATGTTCTAAAGCAGTGCTTCCCAACCTTTTTTTTGGCCAGGGACCAATTGACCAGGGACCACTCTCCAACATTAGTACCAAAAGTGTTACTAATCAGTTTTTGGTCAACTTTGGATTAGGTTTGGCTATTTGGGGTGCTGGTTCAGAAAATTGTATTGGATAGACCACGTCAGCTCTGGTTTCTGATCCAGAACATATGCCATCCAGTAGTCACCGTCTGCTTACCCACAGAAAACAATATTTAATAATTTAGAGCAGATGTGGTAGTAGTAATATTTCAAGGGTAGTCAGCCTCTCCCCTCCTGATATCCCCATTGCCTCAGCACTATAAGAGGGTTTTGTGAGACCAGTCACTCTCGTAGCCACGTGGTTTCAAGGCAATGGTGTAGTCATGTTGAGACTGCAGACCATATTTTCATTATTATGGACCACTGGTGGTCCACAGACCACAGATTGAGAACCCCTGTTCTAAACAATACAATCATCAGAAAAAGATACAAGAATGGGGGACTATGCCTGGCTCAAGAGCAGTACATGTGAAAAAGATCTTGGAGTCCTCGTGGACAACAAGTTAAACATGAGCCAACAATGTGATGTGGCGGCAAAAAAAGCCAATGGGATTTTGGCCTGCATCAATAGGAGCATAGTGTCTAGATCCAGGGAAGTCATACTACCCTTGCTCTATTCCGCCTTAGTTAGACCACACCTGGAATATTGTGTCCAATTCTGGGCACCACAATTCAAGAGAGATATTGACAAGCTGGAATGTGTCGAGAGGAGGGCAACGCAAATGCTCAAGGGTCTGGAGAACAACTCCAATGAGGAGCGGCTTAAAAAGCTGGGCATGTTTACCCTGCAGAAGAGAAGGCTGAGAGGCGGCATGATAGCCATGTATAAATATGTGAGAAGAAGCCACAGGGAGGAGGGAGTGAACTTGTTTTCTGCTGCTCTGGAGACTAGGACGCAGAACAATGGCTTCAAACGACAAGAAAGGGTATTCCATTTGAACATTAGGAAGAATTTCCTGACGGTGAGAGCCATTCAGCAGTGGAACTCTGTCGTGGAGTGCGGTAGAGGCTCTTTCTTTGGAGGCTTTTAAACAGAGGGTGGATGGCCATCTGTCAGGGATGCTTTGAATAGTGTTTTCCTGTTTCTTGGCAGGGGGTTGGACTTGATGAGGCCTCTTCCAACTTTATGATTCTATGATTCTATGATCAAAGGCAATGAGTAACCTTTCAAATGCTGTAATGAATGATAGGAACAAATTACTTTTGCAAGATTTGGTGCACATACAAAACTTGGTATTTGGGATAAAACTGGCCAAGTCCGCAATGCAATCAAGCCCATCTGCGCAGGAAGTCAAGTCAGAGGGGATGTGGCATCTCAGAAAGATACTTTCCAGGGTTTACTTCCTACAGTGCCGTGACTAGTGAAGTGCTGGTTCGTTCCCAGCCTCTTAACTCCTTGCCACAAATCTGCACATTTTTCTTTGCGCATGAGGTGGGGGCTATGGGGCTTTGTTTGCTCTGAAAGAAGGGATGGGGAAACAAAGGGGGAATAATTTTGCAAAGCTCAGCAGCAGGGAGGTTTTATCAGAAGTCTCACTTCCTCACTCTTCCCATCTCATGCTCAGCTCTCACGTACATTGCTGTGGCACTCACACCAATCGGTCAGAGAATCAAATAGCTCAGTGGGTGGGAAGGTTCTGCCTGTGATGACCCCCCAGGTAGCAGAATCTCCCGCCTTCAAGTTGGTTTGAACCGCAGCAGGGAGTTCCGCAGTTCCGTAGAGCAAAGTTGGGTCCGACTGATGAAATGTGCCCCAGCCAGCAGCTCAAGGCAAAGGACTGCATGAAGCCTTTCTTTCACTTTCCCCTCTCCCTCTCTTTGTAACAAATCCCTCAATAAAACACTTAAGTTTTGAAACTTTAAATCCTTTCCGCTTGATACTTTGTGTCCTTTTACTGACTGCAACTTTTCTAACCCACAATAAACCTTTTTCTGGGCTCCGGGGAACCGTGAGCTCACTGGGGACGCCTTCCTGGCCTCCCCAGGCCTCCGAATTTGCATTAGTTCAAATCGCGGATACGGAGATTTTCCTATTGGCCCCCCTTATCCGCCAAAACAACAACATGGCGGATCGGGCCTGTTCAAATTTTATATTTTTCTACATTAACTTCTAAGACTAACTGCTATCTTGGTTTTCTCATTTTGGACTCCTGCACTCGTGAAATAATTGTTTTTGTTTGATCATTAAATTCGGCCGAGTCACCAGCTGATTGTCAAAATTCCGCCGGCTTTTGCCGCTTGGTTCTTTCCACTGCTGCCGCTCGCTCCAGCATGGTTCCTGCCGCCTGCGATCCACCGCCGTGGCCCAAGGGGAAGCCTTGGAAGTGGGGATCGGGCAGGGGAGGCCCGATCCCCGGTTGGGAGCGCTAGTTCCACCAAGGACGAGGCAGTGGAACATAGCTCCCCCTTCAGCTCCAGCTCCTGTTTAATAAATGAACTGATCTTCTGATGGCCAGCCTGAATCATAGGCTGGCCCCTGCATCCAAACCCCTCCGTCCGGACTTTTGGGACTTCTAGTTTTCTCCTTTATGAAATAAATAAAATATTTTCTTAATGTAATGGACTGGGGTTGGGATGTGTGGTGGGTTGTGATACATGAAATGCCTGTATATTGATGATGCCTGTATTTTATAAATATGAAATATGTATCCCTCAATGAACTCCCCTGTATCTTCA